GTTAAATGAATAGAAATTCAGCCATTTTGGGAGAAGAGATTCTGGTCGCTCCTCAACAAGAACTTGTAGTCTACTCCATTGGTTGCATAATATGTAATCTACGTTCTCACTCTCCTAAAAAGGTAACAATAAGAATACTTTGAATATGCAAGTCTCATTTTTAGTTGTAATAATGTTTAATAAAAAATGTAACTTTTCAATCTGACTTTGTAGCTTAAGTTCGATCAACAGGAGAACTCTACATACCCATTGATGTACAACAGAAGGTTAGGTGAATCCTTGATGTCCATAAGTTGGTCACGTGACGCCTCGTTCAGAATCAAGTTGGTCAGTTGAGCTGGACTTAAACTAGAATCACGGCTTAAATGCAATGCACATACACCTGCGTTGAAAATAAATGGAATTAATATTAAATGATGATAAAACTTTTTTTTAAACTTAAAATAGTACGGTGTATATCGGTATCGGTATATTTTTTCAAAGGATAAGGGCGCTATATAAATGCCTACAGCATTATTACAGTTTATAATTATAGTAAACAGTACTATAGGGTTACATTCTCACCTGCGACATGAGGTGTAGCCATTGATGTGCCGCTAATAGTTCTGTAGTGGTCATCTGCTCCGTTATATGCAGCGGTGATGTTTCTTCCAGGAGCAAATATATCGACACATCCACCGTAGTTAGAAAATGATGCCCTGATGTCACGAATGTTAGTCGCTCCAACTGTAATCGCCTTAAAGTGTCGAATTTATTTAGATTTTATTACTTTGTTTTGTTATTTTATTCTCAGTTGTTCAGTATTTTTCTTTAAATGTAGTGGAGGTGGGTGTGGTATGTATGAAGCTTATAGACGGAGAACATTTTGTATGTGGTAGATTGCGTCCGAGGATGGTGCAGCAGATGGCTTAAGGAAGCATAAGGTTGGGGATGGGTGTGGAGATGAATGGTCTGCATAATGCTACAATAAACAGGCAGACGGTATGTGTAATGTGGTCTGGTTAAGGAGGGGTTCGTGGGGGAATGAGTGACGGGGAATGATGATTATGGTGGGATTAAATGTATCATGGTTTTTGATCTGTATAACAATGTTATCTACCTATTCCATTTAGGTTTGAACCATTGACTTAATGAGTTAAGGAAGTTAGCGTTAGAACCAGTTTACTTCTCTGAACACTCATTTCTTTGTTGTTCTTATGCTCCACCCCTAAATTAACTTAGGCCCTCTATAGAAAAAGAACTTAATTACTTTTGATGCTCTGGCGGGGGATTTTCTGCAGGAATCATAGTTATTATTTCCAGCAGCAACAAGTGACAGAATACCCTCATCATAGAGTTTGTTGACCGCTGCGTCAACAGATGTAGTTCCACCCCCTCCGAGAGACATGGATGCAACTGCCGGTCGAATAGCATTCACCGCAACCCAATCAATAGCTATATGTCGTGGTAAAATTAAAGAATAATTGTTCAGAATGAATATCGATACAAAATAAATAAATAGCATAATTTTAAATGATTGGTTCCTTTTACTTATAATTGATTTCATTTTACCTCCCCATTTAGATTTAGGATTATTTGATAATTCGTTTAGTAATATTACACACCGGCTATGATGCCAGACCAGGTGCCCCTTCCGTCACATCCCAGTACCCGTACTCCGTAGATATTTGTTCGTTTGGCGACGCCGTATTTTGTTCCGCCGACAGTCCCACTGCAATGTGTCCCGTGACCTCTACAATCGGTTCCATTACCCTTTCAAAAATAGACAGAACAAAGCAATTTATAATTACTATATGACATTTTTTTCAAGTATTTAATCATTTTAGGCTTTAGTTGAAGCGGATCACAAAAATGACAAACATGGATTGGCTGGCACACAGGATGGCATTCACCTATTTTGTAGGCCTAATTTACACGCGGGATCAACGGCTTAAATAATACATCTAAGAAACATTTTTATAGTTTACAGTATAGTGTTTTGAACCTGATATCCGAAGCTTAAACCCCAACAATTCGCCACTACATAAAATCAATCATCAACGCAGTAGTGAAATGTAACTATTTACCAGAGCGTTTAATGTTTCCATAAAATCGCCTCATGTTATCGCCAATGGCCAACAGTTTTCGGTGACACTGTAGTGATTGGTTGGTCGAATTGGGGAACTTCCCTATTTCGCAGTGTGACGACTGCAAAGAAAACGCTGTAGCGAAAGTGTAGCGATTTTATGGGAACCAGGCTTTAAATCTAATATTTGAGGACAGCATGCATTGCATCGTACCTCTGGGTCGTCCATGAAATCTTTTACAAACTGAGCTCTGTCATTGAATTCTTCATGGGTTGTGCGCACACCAGTGTCCAGTACGTAGACATGTGCACCACTGCCATCACCTTGAAGAGTAAGCATTAAAAGTTTAGTAAAAATGGACACTCCAGACGCCAGCTGTCATAACGTTAAAAACTCATTTCATAGATATGGGGGGGGGGAGGTGAGAGGGTACAGGGTTTGCAAAAAAATAAATAAATTTAAAAAAAATAAATAAATAAATAAATGTTTATTTTTATTTAGTACATTTTTAACTGTTTGAAATGTCATTTCTAATTTGGGGGTGCTAGGAAGGGTCTGTGGGCACGCACCTACTGCGCCCCTGGCTAGGGTCCTCAAATACAATGTGTTTTTAGCGTACCCTCTGGGACAAACTTGTCGTCTAGTGGTAGTCTCACTTGGTCGATCCTATCCAATCCCCACGTTTCATCGGCGTAGGCATATCCGTCCTCTTCAACGTAATTTACTGACGAATGACTACGCACCTAAGGATAAATAAAGTTAGATGTCATAAATAGCTTCGTCATTACCTTCTTCATCGTCATCATCAAAATTATCATCAACATTTCCATCGTGCCCAATAGCATTGTATCATAAGGCAAAAAAAAATGTTTGTGTTGGACACGTTTTGGGAAAATCCAAGAAATGCAAAAGGTTTTGTTTTTGTTTGTTTTTTGTTTTTATTTTTAACCAAATTGATCATATTATTATATGCTTAACAAGTAGAAAAACACAAAAATACAACAAAGACCATTTTAAAATCTATACAGTATTGAAGTGTAAAACGATCACATAACACTGTCGCATCGCCTACCGTCCAGCCTTCTTAGCTCATTTAAAAATAAAGTTCGTTGTAGTAAAAAAAAACACACACACAAAGAAAGCCTCAATTTCGTACATTTTGGGTCGGTCGGGCGTGGCCAACAGCAATTTTTTCATCTCGGCCATTATTATCACTATAATTCTCATCATCATCATCGTCATCAACAGCAATAACTTTAACATTGTTGTCCTCTTCATCACCATCGTCATCATTATTGTTATCACTAATCCTGACTAATTATCGCCGTTATTTACATCTCCAGCCAGGTATTTTGATCCTTTGCTTGTCTGCGACCACCATCATCCTCCTTATCATCAATTATCCTTATCAACATTATTATTATCATACGGTAGGCCTACTTATCACAATTATCTTTCATCACCAGAATCATAATTCATCATCATCATCATGCATCCTCAACACCATTATCGTTATAATCAACATAATCACATCGTCCTCGGTGACGGATCCAGGAATTCGAAATAAAGAGGGGAGGGGGCAGGGAGGGACTTTCCCAGATGGAGGGTCTAGACCACCTCAGCCCTACCATTGTTGGGGCTGATGTACGCTTAAGGCACCTCTATATGGGCAGAAATTTCACTCTTAGACTTAAAGTCGAATATAGGCCTAATTGTTATTGTTTCTCCATTTTTTGATAATTTATAAAAAATGTAGAGGGGAGGGGTAGGGTGCCGGTCCAGCTTGAATCTGCCAGTGGTCCTTATCATCATCATCATCATTCTTCTCCTCCTCACTAAGCTTTACTTCCCAACACTTACCAACTCTATAGCAGCCAATGGTGCCGTAACGCTAAATCCTCTCAGAACGGTATTGTAATGGTGTTTGACGTTCAGGCGAAGCTCATTCTTGATAGCGATCCCTTGCAATTCGTTTATCACCTTAGTGACGTCAAATCCATTCTAATTTAAAAATTATTTTTCTTTTATAATATGATCAACTTGATTCAACTGACAGCACATTAGAAGAAATAAACATAATACATTGTAGACTGTTATTATTACAGTATTGTATTACATTATTATTATTACTATTATTATTATTAGGCCTATTATTATTATGTTACTTTGATCTATTATTAAAGCATTTTCAATTTACCTTGAGAACAACGATGAACTTGTTCGGAGCATGGTCCTCTGTTGTTATTAATGGCGCTCTGGATTGAACATAGGCAACACAAGAGATAACCACAACTAGAATTAAAGACCTCATGACAGACCTATCCAATCAAACAATTATTGTATACAAACCTACAGGGCAGAGAAAAAGAGAGGAAATTCGAAATCTTTTCTTTTACAATAATATGCTCTTTCTTGTACTAACGTTTTGACACGTATAGTAGGTCTATTTCAACCTTTTGTAAGCTTACATAAATAGACAAAATGTTATAATACTTACCAAAATACAGAGCACCAGATTGAACATTAGGGTCCAGTCCGAATCAACCTTTGTCGTAGATCAACTTAATGACTTTTATCGTCATTCATACAATAACAAATCACTGGATAAATTAACGGGGTTAACAGTTATCTACCAATAGGTACTTCATCTTTGTATACTGTTTGTCAATTAACATTCGATATTGTTGATGCGAGGATATTGACTCAATAAACCTTATCTTTAGACTTTGCATCGCACGAAGAGTGTTATGGTACGATAGGTTACACCATTGCGATCCAAGAAAATTATAGATACAATCTTCAATCAGAATAATGATTGCTTTCTCCTACCACGCAACTTCCACTTTAGTTTTCAATTTATTTAATTTGGATTTTTTTAAAATTTAACAACACAGGTCTCCCTCTAATTAAAGACTTCTCCAATAAAGACCACTTTTTCTGTGGTCGCATAATAACTAATGTCTTCTGTCTTTATTATTCTAAATACTGTAGAGACCAAAGCTGTTAAACCCCAGTCCCAAATGCTTTCTTATTGGACTGTACATATTGATTTAGACACTTGGGTGAATTTGCACACGAATGAATCTTTTACATGCCTATACTAAACAATCTAAAACTAATACAAGGATAGCCATACTGATAAAAAATGAGACGCTATCATACCATCATCACCACCATGATGATAATAATCATCATCAACGCCGTCATTATCGTCGTCGAAGACTAGGTTAATTCTGAAACATTTTACTTCCAACAAGTACTAGGTATCAGTATTTCCACAAAAAAAAAACATCGAATACAAAAGGGATGGATTAAAATTATAAAAACCTTCTTTATTTACAAAATCAAGATATGAACATATCATAAATACAAGTTCTATACAAAGCATATTCTCTTAAAAATGTACACCAATGTTTTTATGTAATTATGTATTAAAGTTAAATTAATAATGTCAATTTGGTGATGAAGATTGCACATCGATTGTTGTTACTGTCGACTTGTGAATAAGAGAAGCAAAGTGGCTAAGAAATAGTGGGGCAAAGGAAGTGGTGCAGCCCTCCACTTCCTACAAAAACGTCACTGGTCATTTCAGGTCTAGTGGGTCAATTCTGCCAATGGAATTAGGTGGATTTTGATATACTTTCGTTTCGAGGACCTCAACTGGAATATGTCCTTAGACACCATTGGTGATCAGTGGCAGATTCAAGGATGGAGGGGCAGCTAGCCCAACATTTTTCAAAATAAAAAAAAAAGTGGAGAAAAAAAGAAAATTATATTCAAATTTAATTCTGAGAGTGCCATTTCCGGCAATCTAGAGGGTGCTATAATCATATTTTTAAAAAATAAATTTTTAAAATTTGTTTATTTATTTTTATTTATTTATTATTATTTTTTTCTTAACCTCCTCCTCCTGAAGTAGGTGGACACTATCTTTGAAGTCACTCCCCGGGCTCTCTCGATTTCGAATTCCTGGATCTACCAATGGTGATCTAAGGTGTCCCCATGGCTCTCATTATTGTGGGTCAATCAATTCAAGCATTGACAACTCTATAAATTATTGGAGGGCAAGCATCTTAACCACTTAGCAACACCTAAACATCGATTTCGTAATTATCTAGTACAATACAAACTGTATGACTAAACATTTGGATATGATATAGGACATCAAACGATTCCATGGGTGTGTCTGCCACATGTCAATCAATCTGTATAACTTCATACTGTGATATGTCAATCAAGAAATAGAATCATACTATAAGTTAATTAGACATATGGCTTCACTATGATGTGATTGCAAATTAATGCCAAGTTCAATTAAAAAAATATAAAAAATATATTACATTTCAACACACTAAAAATGGTAATAAACTCTTTTTAGTACATTAAGTTTGGCTATTTTTGTAAACAATGCTTATAATATTGGTTGTCGACAAAAGTGTTGCTTCAGAAATTTTGGATTGTGTTTTATTCTTCTTAGAATTCAGAATTTAATTCTATAATATATACAGCATATAAAATACAATCTTCCTTTTGGAGTTGGCAAAGGAACAGTAACATAGCCATCTCAATAATTATGTTGTAGTGACTGGGGTAACTGAGGATTGTGTCATGTTTGGTCAAACTGTTATGCTTCAGCGACTCTGTGGATTTTGTTTATTCTTGTGATGATTTCCGATTCTCTCTCACGCAGTTTCCTGCTCACATCAAGCTGTAAAAAGTACAATAATAAACATTAAACAAATTTGATAGTATGAAATGTTTGAAATGTATAAATTATAAAAAAAAGGATTAAGGCCTGTTTATACTTCAATCGTCCAAGTGTAAAAACTTCTCTTATTTCTTTTGTTTTCTATATGAACAATCGCTTTTTAATCGTTATCGTTGAAGTATAAACAGGCCTTTATGATGAATATTAAGAGCGTTTTACTGGAGATTTGGCGACCCAATTTTGGGTCATGACCCATAGTTTGAGAACCGCTGGACTCAGTATACTATTATAAATCTGACTGAAATCTGAGAAATAATACGAGATAATATCTGAGAAACTCATGGAACATTCAATTATAACAAAGAATTGCTCATAAAGTTATCAACTTTCAACCAGACACAGATAAAACTTAGAATGACAAAAGGCTACAAGATATATTCAAAAGTAGAAGGAATGTACAATTAACGAAACGAAAAATAGTAGAAATAGCACTAATTTCCAGTTAACACTGCTCAATTTTAAAAACATAAATTCTGAAAACGTTCTACTTTGTAAGCCGATTTAAAAAAATTTGTTTTATCCTCACACCATTATTATTATTATTATTATATTATCTTTTATTTTAGTATTGTCGTTATTCATTGTTAATTTGTGAATGTTGTTTTGTTTCCAGCAATGTTATGTGCAACTACACATGACCTGGCGTTTTTGCACATTTTTTTATGCTGAATAAAAAATGATTGAAAACAAATGTTTTAATTTTTCATTTCTATCATTCTTTCGATTTTATAAATCTTTTATTCTTGCATCAATTTTATTATAATTTTATAGTTTTATCAATAATTTTATTATAAATATTAGGAATTTTATCATAAATTTTATGAATTTTATCATAAATTTTATGAATCATATTTTATTTATTTTATGAATTTTATTTCATTTGTTGTTGTTGTTAAATATGTTAACAAAATCGGTTGAATTGAATTGAATGTAGGTACAAATATTTTATATGATAAAAACTAATATTAAAATATAATACTCACTTGTAAACTTTCAAACATTTCTGTAGAAACAATATCAAACATTTTTTTAACATCAGCTGCTGTAACATCTTTCAAAGGATTAACCTCAACTTCAACTTTAATTCCTGCAAGAAAACAAAGTATATTTCACAGGTACTGTAATAATAACCATATTATTTAATAATTGTATATACTTTATTGGCTCCAACTTGGAAGCCTATAGGCATACACACACACACACACACACATTATTATTATTATTTATTCAGGCAAAAGATACGATATACAAAATACAATACAAATCAATAACATCAAACAAGAAACATAACATTAACAAGTACATTAAAAATACCATAGTCATTGGCTGCCTGGAAAGCACAAAAGTAGCCCAGTCTATTAACCACTGTTAATAAATAGGGGACACAAAGCATACATACAAAAACAGCAAAGGTGTCTTACATAGTTTCAATCAAATGAGGCATGTTGTGGCAAAATGGCTAAGTTGTAGCCATTGTCAGATAACAAAGTATGTGATATTTAAAATGAGGGGTCATTCATTGAAATTTAACATTTCAAACCTTTAGTTATTTGGGAGTGAAAGTACAGCACTCTTAAGAGTCAAGATAAACATGATTTTGAGTAATCGCCTTCCAAAGTTATTTGGTGCATACACTGTTTAATAGAATTAACTACCAGATTAACGTAACAGTAAACGATTTGGTGACCATTTCCAGAACTAAGACTATGGGGCATGATTAATTAGACATTAAACTATTGCTCTATAACTTAGTATAAAACATACTCCAAATAAAGTAAGACTAGTCATTTTGATTCAATATTTCGATCTTTTATTAGATCATCATCAGGAATGAATAAAGATTCCAACATTACAAACATATATTCCAGAGGTGTTACAGAAAATTAACCAATGAGAAACAGTCAATAATGTATCCAATAAGATTCAGAATTAAGTGTTGGTGATTAAGTATAAAGTATCAATAAAGAATCAATAAGCATCGTTAGGGTTAATTTTTCATAGCACTAGGATTATTGACAGTTATAGTAACTGGTCACATTTATTGTTTAAAAAGGCTTTCGCTATTAGACGTTTCAACCCATTACTTAACAATGGACTGAACTTATTAATAGGTCCATGCTGAAAGCATCCAAAGAACTATCATTGTTTTCCTAGTTCTCACTTCCAGTTGTTTATTTCATCACATCATTAAGCTTGCTTATTGATACTTTATTGATACTTTCATCACTAACACTTAATTCTGAATCTTATTGGCTACATTATTGACTGTTTCTCATTGGTTAATTTTCTGTAACACCTCTGGAATATATGTTTGTAATGTTGGAATCTTCATTCATTCCTGATGATGATCTAATAAAAGATCGAAATATTGAATCAAAATGACTAGTCTTACTTTATTTGGAGAATGTTTTATACTAAGTTATTTTAAAGTTATCAGTGGACCTACTGGTTATTGCTCTATAGTGAAACAATTTTTTTTTATTTTTTAAAGCAATTTTTTGAGCTCCCATATTTTATAGCTCTTTTACTCAATACTGGCCTGTGCGACAACTTAACCATTTTGCCATGACCTGCCTAAAATGGTTAATAAATAAATATGCTTTTTTGTTTACCATCTTCAATTTGTTTTTCAGGATCGTTTACTTGTTCCTCATCAGGCTTATCTGTCATCTCTTCAATGTCTTCTTCTTGACAAGGAACTGGTGGTGCAATGCATTGTTTGTAAATCTCTTCAGGAATCCCTTCATCAAGTGGAGCAGGGAAGGGGACGTTAGCTGGGGGTAATGTTTCAATACAAATCTGTAAGATAATAAATCCCAATATAAGGCATTAGATACACTACAATCATCACTGGCAACACTTCCACCATCATCATCCTGAACACAAGAATGATGATCACTACCACAGCAAAACCATCATAGATATGTTGATAATAATATTAGAATAAGGATGATTCTTGTTATTGCCACATGCTTCTTACCTCTGTACCAATTATTTCCTCTTTCCGTTCACTATGGAACATGAATTCATACATACGATGATGTTGGAATAATCTAAACATGGAAGAAAAAAAAAATATGGATGTGCTCAATGCAATTATTTTACAAGATGGGGCGTGATCTGTAACTTATATTTCAGCAGTGGCGTATCTAAAAGTCCTGAAAAAAGGGGGGGGGGGGCTGATGGGGTGCAAAGGTGAAGTGGGGATGATCAGTTGAGGGGTGCTATTTCGCAAAATATGGTGATTTTAGGTGATTTTTAACTACTTGACCGTGATTGTTTTTTTTTTTGCGGGGGGCGAGTAATTTTTGGTGGCCGCATGCGCCCCGGCGCCCTCTGATAGATACGCCAGTGTATTTCAGCCCTCCAGCAGAATCACAAGAACAATAACAAAAAATAAGTAATAAGTACAGTAATAAACAATAATATAAGCCTGGTTCTCACAAGAGCTCTAGTATCTGGATCGGGAGCTAATCGTTAGCACTAACCGTTAGCACCTGTGTGAGAACGCCTGATCGGTTAGCGCTAACCGTTAACGGTATCCGGATACCGCTAACGGTTGAGCACGTTTCTATCATCAACCAATCACACGTACGCATTTACAATTTCCAGTTTCTTATTGGCCAGTGATTTGATCATCATATTCTTGGTATCCGGATCGGGATTTTCTCGTATGGATGTTTGCACGGCAGCTAACTGTTAGTTGCCGTGTGAGAACATAGCCAATATTTCTAACTTTATTAAAAGCAATAATAATAAAATAATTATGAAAATTATGAAAATAACAATAACTACAAGTAGAATAATAGTACAAAATTATTACATCTTAATCAGCTCAAGGCTATTATGGTAACAGTATAAAGTTGAATAAATCTGATTGATTGATTGAAGAATGGATGTACAGTAGTCAGAAATAAAAAATATAGCTTACGAGGTTTTGAGATAGTCTGTTATTTTAATAGCCTGTTCAACATCAAGGAAATCCATCCCTCCTGAATCCTCTGTGCTATCATTACCTATACCAGTCATCATTGTCTTCAGATCCAAAATATTATCAGATAATGAATATTTCTTATCTAAAAAACATATAAAGAAAATATTTATGCTGGTACTTTCATATCAACTATATTAACAACGATAATATAAACACTGATAGAATTTATAGAATGCTGGTCACTTCGGCCCTAAGCCAAATTGGCCCAAACCAATTCAGCCCATACCAACTCGGATCAAAACCAACTCGGCCCAGACGACACTTTGGGCCGAAGTGACCTGAATTTATAGATACTAAAACTAATTTACCTTTTATATTGTTAATCAATCTATTGAGTAGTGTTATGAATGCTGACAGCTGTTGTGATGTAAACCCTTCTTCTTTTGCCCACCAAAATCCAACTGTGTAACAGTCAAGCAAGATGGTGCCTTGCAGTTCTGTTGCTGTATTGCTCAATCCTAAGATTTCTCCTAATGTTCTAAAATGTGAATAACATAATTAAGACATTGAGAGAAATTTGAAGCAAATTAGGCCCATACATCAAACAACATTAGAATGATCATCATTAATAAGCAGCTACTCTTTGTGATAAGATTTTGTACTCTTCACACCCTAATGGTTTCCCGAGGATCTATGTCGAACTGGTGGCTACAACTTTACAGTATGTAGCTGAGTCATTCTTTAGTAAAGTGAACGATTTGTGGTTTCGAAAACCACGAAAAAAAATGTTTCATATTCGAATATCGTTCATTGGATGTGATTATTATGTTGTACAACAGCTCTAAACCAATGTCTGCAATGCAATTTTTGGAATAATATGCACTTAGTTAAACATTCAATTTTTATGATGTAGCATTGGAATACATTTTCACATAATTCTTTTTTTGGAAGCCACTATCAATCAATCAATCCTGGGACTGGTTGGCATGATTTGAGCTGCAGAGCGATTCTTTCTTCTTTTCAATTTCAAAATGAGGATATTTCTCCTGGAGAGATGAGAGTTCTCTTCTCCGGACAGTATCTTTCCAACTTTCCTCTCTTATCTAGGCCTACTTCTCTTTTTCTTTTCCCTACAATTTGCATGTTTAGCATGTTCTCATCTGAGTTTGCAAGCCCTGCAATGATCCTGCTAATCTCAATCGGCAGTTGGCCAACAAGCTACCATCACTAATTTCATCTGCTGTAAATAGTCACAGCATTCTTGTCATGAACCATGCTGCTCTCCGGACATTTATTGTGCCGCACCAGAACCATTCGTAACCTTACGTTTCCGGATGTCCTTTTGCAATCTTTTTTTTTCATTCAAAGAGCACCCCTTGAATTTTCCATGTTCCCACAAGAACCCCCCAATTCATCTATCTTCGTAAGCGCCCCCTCAGTTTCCACTCTGTTTTCATAAGTGCCTGGTTTGAACAAGCGCCCCGTTTGAATAAGCACCCCTCAAAATGCCCAAATAATATTTTAAGCGCCCGGGCGCTTATACGTGCGAGTATGGTACATAATGAACACTGAACAAGGTGCTTCCTACTGTAACAGAATAAGCCAGACCCATATTCATCCATTTTATTTCCAATAATGACAAAAGAAAACATCAAGAAATCATCAGGGTGAAAACCATGTGTGCTATGAAGTGTACAAAATTTTGATTGTATTTATGAATAATTTTTTAAGAGAAAGTAATAAATAAGGCATGTTGTAATTGCATTCGGAGATGATGCAGAATAAAGGTACTCTTCTGGTTGTATTTGAAAGTCCGCCATTCTTCGGCTATCATGTATATTTAACTGTACAGAAACGGACCTACTGTATTGTTACTGTATGCTCCCCTACATCCAAAATGGATTGATCCAAACTTGTTTACTTAATTTTGTTAAGCTATAGCGTTTCAAAGTCACTGTGATGGAGATGACTGAAATGCAGGACAAATTTTTTTAGTCTTAAAAAGGTCAATTATACAAATTTATGGTTGTATAATTATTCTTTCAAGGTACTTACTTTACGAATAATGGCATTTGGTAATTTGGAGAAATGAAATCGAGACATGCATTTTTAGGGGGTTTTGTTGAAAATAACCCATACGTTTATTATTTTCAAAATTTGTTGACACAACTTTCAATCAGGAATGACGTGTTAATGATTACTTTGCTGCAATAAAAATCAATGTTCCTTTAATACATTTCGTTTTATAGTACCTTAAAATGGTGGGACATGGCATGACCACTTTAATGAAGAATGACCCAGCTAATCCTTAGATTAGGTATGGGTCAGAATTTTAAGAAAGAAATGAATTTTTGTGTTGGCCAAGAAACTGTTAAAAAAAACTAACAAAAGTTTCAATCAATGCCATACTTTTCAACATCTTCTACAGACATTTGTTGAAGGGCTAGTGTTTGTGTGTTTGACAGGATCTTCCATGCAAGAGAACCTTCTTTTTCAATATTTCTGGCTTCATCATCCTGTTGAAAAAATAGAGGAATATGATCATTTTTAATCCTAAGGCCCCATAAAAAAACTATTAGTTTATCACCCCCTCCCTCATCACTTTTAGGGAAATTCTGATTTTTTTTAAATTTTTTTTTTCAAGTAACATATATTTTTATTTCAAACGGTCGTTTTTCCATCTTTTCTGACTTGAAAAGCTCAAGATTTCTTGCAAGTATGTTTACTGGTACAACAAAAACATATTTTTTTAAATATAAATTTGATTCCATTCTTATGACTTTTTATATAATATGTGTCCCTAACTATTGATTTACTTGAGAACATCAGTAAAATGGGAGCGGTTAGCAAAAAAAAAAAAAACAAACCCTCCGTACCTACCTCATCATCAGTTTTTATTCTTTGATAGGGTGATTAAAACTTTAAACTAGGGCCAGGCCCTAGGCTAATAATTTTTTTTATGAGGCCTAGCTAGGGTCTAATTTAACTCCGGCCAGGCCTGGCTCACTCAGGCCTAAAGTTAGCTACTAGGCCTAGGCTAGTTAGACTTATTATCTTTACACATATTGGAATTAACCTTCCAGAATTTTGAGGATTATAAGCCTAGCTTTGCTAAATTGTCCATTCGGCTATGCCTAGGCCTACCATATGCACTACGAAAAAATCATGGTAAAGCCAGGCGCTTCCTCATCGGTATCGATCATCTCTGGTTGCATCACCAACACGCAACCCAACAGTGCAACACTGGCCTAGCTAGGCCCAGACTACTGTCAGAGTAGTTCTTATCATAACTAAAATATCTGTATAATAACAAGACAACCTTACGCTCAATGTATTCCAGTTAATATCTTTATATGCATCTTGTCCTTTCCCTATAATTTGGACTGTTGCGTGTGATGTTTTGCTTTTCTTTCCTTTTGTGGTCGACGCCATTATTCGGTTGCTAAGGTCTACCATAACGCCCTCACACGACTTCAAGGGAATCAAACTTGTTAAATTATTTATGTCGAAATATTTGGGTAGACTACTGATTATCCCCTCTTAAAAATAGAATTGAGATATAAGAATTTTTCACCTCCAAGAAAAAAAATATTATAATTTCAGTGAAATTGAATGAAAATTTCGGAGCTGAAATTCAAGCCGAAATGTTTGGAGGACGGTCCTTCATAAACAAGTGGAAGGTGTGGTCCCCTCACCGCCCCTATTCAGCGTATTGTGCTGTTTGATCCACACACAAACAAAAAAAAAAGGGGAAAAAAAAGAAAGAAAAATGAAAATGTCAGATAATTGAATGCATCTTAATTAACATAAAACAATTACAAAACTTTTTTTCAGTCCTTGCCTTAATCTTTGATTTACTAGGGATGTATGTAGACATTGAAGCCCTTCTGTTCTTCGTTGGCAGCTTTAGGCCGTGCTGAAATAGAGATCAAAATGATTCATTACCATGTGAGGGAGAGAGGAGGGCCACACATTTTTGACTAAAAATTTTTAATATCATTAGGCCTACTCACTCTGCCTCAGTGTGTTTGGTCAAAATCCTGACTTACAATAAAACATAAGCTCAAGTTAATACTAAATAACAATATAGACCAAATCTCTTTACCATTCGATCGGTCAGCGGTGTGATCATTGAAGACGTTTGCCGTCGCCGTATCCGTCTTGACATCCTTCAAAATGTTCCTCTTTTAGAAAGAAAGGAGATAATACTAGCCTACATAATGAGTCACAATTATGAATAAATACATTCTATTATAATAATAGGCCTATTATTGCTTTTTACATAATCTCTTATGTTCAAACTCATTGTTCTCAGTGTTTCCATATCCAATATATAAATATTATAATTTAAAGAATAAAGCGGTATAGTGATTCTTCCTTTTGTCTCTGATTTAAAAAAAATTACCGACATGTGAATGAATTTTAAAGAAAATAACTTTAGACACAAATTGCAACGCATAATAAAAATTATCTGTCAGTTCTGTTACTACATAATTGACTGATTTTTTTCTTTCAGAGTATCATATTTAAATGTAAATATTTAATGTAAATATATCCACTCCTACACAATTAGACTGGTGATAGCAACTATGTGATAACATAGGCCTCTAATGAAGCATGTTTATGGCAACTCCATTCCCTTTAACCCGCGTCAACGTATTAAACTAGCCTACTAGGCATAATCGATCGTCACTACTTGCTTAATTGCAACATGTGCTTAATCAAACCACGGACCTATTAATCAAACAATATGAAAAAAACATCAAAGTAGACCGTTACATTTCGACAATTACCGGTAACGATTCAAAACGTTTTCTTCTGATCCGTTTTAAGTATGTAAAAGGTTATAGTCTTTCTAATAAGAGTGTTGCCAAGATAACAAAATCGGTAGCTATGCAGCCAGTCTATGTATCTTCAACGTATAGCATTCTCAATATGGAAAGGATACGAAAATGATTTGTCATAAAATTGCTCGCCTTGTAATAATCATTAAATCTAAAATTAAATTATTATTTCATCTCATTCTGTCTGTAAGAAATATTATTAAAAAAAAAACACCCTCCATAGCATTCATTTTAAAAACATTCTCAATTAAATAGGGATCAAATACATTTTCAGATTATGAAAGGAACGATAGGCATATGCCTTAATTATTTTAATTTACTAAAAAAAAACAATGATTTTTTTCTTTTCCTTCAAAACTTAAGAAAACTTTTTCAAGTTTATATTATAGCGCAACACAGTGGCCTATGCTATATTAAAAAAAATTTAATTATTTACATTGATTTGATTTCATTTCTAGGCCTTAGGCCCTAATGCCCTGGTATTCAACCCCGGCCCTCGGGCCAACTCCAGCCCACCAAAAAATTTGGATCCAGACAGTGCGAAATTGCTAAAAAATAAATCATTTTCCGCCTGATTTCTAGAACATATTATTAGAAATTTTCTGTTAATAGAAATAAGACCACCTACTCTGGCATTCAAGAGTGTTTTTTTTCTGAGTGTAGCTCATTGTATCCAGTGGCGTAGAGAACTGACATGGGGAGGGGTCTGATGTGGCAGATCCAGGAATTCAAAATAGAGGAGGCCCGGGGAGGTTCTTTCACAGATGGAGGATCTGTACCAGCCCAGCCCCACAATGGTTGGGGGCTGAGGTAAGAAAATTTGATAATGGCACCTTTGGATGGCCCGAAATTGCACTTTCAGACTTCAAATTTGAATATAATTTTTGTTTATATTGCCATTAGAAAAAAAAATTAGTGCGGAGGGCGGGCTGGTTGCCTCCCCCCACCACCCCTTGAATCGCCACTGGGATGGATTAAGTGAGGGAAATAATAATGACGTTAACGGCCAGCGGCCGATCAGGTTCATCCGGGGAGCAGGCTCGAGGCATGTCATTTTGCATGCTGAACACTCAGTTGAAAACAATCTGGGAGTACGCTTACAATTTCCGGCCATCTAGAGGTGTCTATTTTAAAAATGATCTTACCTCACCCAAGTCCCGGATAAGATTTTAAGGAGAAATTCCCTGTCTGATGTATGAATTACAAGGAACACGGCTATCAATCGCACAGGAATTTACTGAGTGAACGAAAACATCGACCAAATCACCCAAGACAAAGAACACGACTAATTTCAAGAGAACTGTATTGTTGCTATACCTTCCGGCAAATATCGACGTTTTCTTCACACCAAATCTACGTTAGACATCTCCAATAAAATTAAACATTTTCTTTTGTTTTTTGTTTTTCTGTAATTAATCTTCAGACCACAAGATTGTCTTTGACGTCTAATTTTTTTCAGAAACATTGTATAGTTTTCCTATTATACCCTATAGGTTTATTATGACTTTTTAAAAATTAATTTTGTAATTTAAATAAATATTTTTTATGTTACATACCTAACTTTTTCATAATTATAAAACTCTCTCAGAGGTGGTGGTAGGCCCGTCAGCCTGAGACAAATCCCTTCATCTTTGCCAAGCTACCTGACAAATTGCATACACATTGGGCCTAACATGTTTTAAAGAGTTATCTTTATACCTCCTTGGATTAAGTTGCGTTTAAATAGGCCTGATTATTAATTCTGCTTTAGAAGAATGTTACTTACTTGAACTAGGCACAACTTCAATAAAAAATATATTCCTTCAAGACTTTCTAGTAGGCCTACTATTGTGTCGAGTCCGTGCTTTATCGTTTGTTGTCAAAGCAATTTAAGCAATTGTCTAGTAACTGAACGATCTCAATTCTAAATGAACTACGGACTATTATTAAGCAGTCGCTTATCAAATGCGTCACCGGACAGGTGTGGAAAGTGTCGACAGTACTGTACAACATACAATGACAAAATAACCCTTAATCTTGTTGTACAGTATACCTTACAATTGATATTGATCACATAATCAATGAAACTTCCTGTAACATCCGACGCGATTACTTTAATGAGCAGAGTGAAGAACGTGTATTTATTAATACACCTTACAATTGATATTGATCACATAATCAATGAAACTTCCTGCAACACCCGACGCGATTACTTTAATGAGCAGAGTGAAGAACGTGTATTTATTGATAATGGTATGTCTGACCCATATGAAGTCTTCATTGTTTTTAGAAAATATTCGGGAATAAAATTAAAAACATCAAGCATAATAAAAAAAATAATAGTGGCGAATGAGAATCGTACCAGAACCTTTGGCTAACGAAAGTTGCGTTCAACTGCATCCACGTCCCTTAGGCACCAGCAGAACAGCCACTAATACTTTTTTTTAAATAAAATACTCATTATCTAGAATTATTACAGCCAAATAGGAATCATTTAATTTTTAAAATTTAAGATGATATGAAGATATTTTTACAGTATTTATCACAAAACGTATTTTCCCATCGGCACTTGAACCAATAACCGTCGCTTGAACCAAGTCTGCGTGGCTACCGTTCAATTACGCTATTCAATAACTACAGATTCAAGTTGACGAAACCCATAAATTGTAAATAAAAACTGACGAAAAAAGAAAATTATATTCAAATTTAAATTCTGAGTGTGCCATTTCCGACCATCTTGAGGTGACATTTCATAATTTTTCGTTAGCGTACTCTTCTCCAACCACGGTGGCGCTGAGGTGGTTCGACCCTCTATATACAGTATGTGATAGTCCCTCCCTAGCCCATTTATTAAAATTATGAATCCGCCACTGGACAATATACAATACAACCTCGGATGTACGTTTTATGTAGCTATTAATTACATACATTTTAGATTAATTTTTTTAACAATCTTAACCATTCAGCAAAGTTGATTTATCTGTTCTATTTACGTCATCGATCCTAGTTCCTTTATCGTGCTTGAAGGAATGCTATGAAAACGTATTGACCCCATCGTGACTTAAACATAAGGTAACCTCTCAGTTCAGACACAACCGTCATGATACAAAATAGAAATTAATCATTTGGATATCATATTCATTTTAAATACTTTTATTTTTAAGTGCTGTTGCGCCCTCTACACATTTTACTATTAAGTCATACATTAGT